CGGTAGGGGCCTTGTGGGTCTCATGTTGCAAACATAAATTGCCATAGTGATTGCTTCACCCCACCAGAGCTTGTCAAGTCCTTTAAACTGAAGAAAAGTGGTAGCTATAGCTTGAATAGTGCGATGAAACCTTACTGCCACTCCGTTCTGCTGAGGACTATAGGGACAAGTGAACTGTTGTTTGATGCCCAATGCCAACAACTCCCCCTGAAATGTTTTCCCCATGTATTCACCTCCTCGGTCCGACCTCAAGGTGAGTAACTTCTTCCCTGACTCTCTCTCAAAAAGTGTTATCCACTGCTTGAAACACTTGTGAACTTCATCCTTGGTGTTGATGAAAAAGGACCATGAGAAACGACTCTTGTCATCAATGAAAGACACCAAATATCTCTTACCGTTTCGAGTAGGGTCTCGCATGGGGCCGAATACATCAGTGTGGACCAACTCTAGGAGGTCCCTTGACTGAGACTTAGAAGGGAAAAATGGCTTCCTAGCTAGCTTACCTTCGACACAAGATGGACATGAAACGGAAGAAAGGGACTTGACTGCACTTTCACTCAAACTCAATCCTTCCACGCTCTTGTGATTTACCAACTCTTTCAGTGCTTGCATTCCCAAGTGCCCCAAGCGTGCATGCCATACCTCAGTTTGGGAGATACTCCCTTTGTTGTTGACTTGATCGGTTGAAACAGCGGGAAGCGAGACAACGTCATTCTTCGTGTTGCTAGAACCACGCTTAATCTCCAATTTCATCTTGTAGAGCCGCCCGGTACGCTCGCCTTCAGCCACCAAATTCCCTGCACTGTCCCAAACTTTGGCTTTCCCCCCTTGCAAAAGTACAGAGGCACCTTTCTCTTCGAGTTGTCCAGCTGAGAGCAAGTTTTCTCCCAAATCAGGAACAAACAAAGCTTTATTGACACAAAATGACTTACCATCCTTTTCGAACTCAAGTTTGCCGACTCCTTTGATAGGGACTTGGCCAAGATCAGCAAGAGTCACCACTTTTGAGTCATACGAGGGCTGAAAATCCTTTAGAATGGACTGATAGGGAGTCATGGTTTCAGAACAGCCACTATCAAGAATAAACTCCTCATTACTAGTAGTAAAAACGTGCATGCAAGAAGCGGCATTGAAAAGAACAGGACCATCAGAATCTTTGGACTCATCTTGACTTGTAGAATAACTTGCTATATTTGCTAGAAATCCCTTACCCTTTTCAGATAGTAGCTGAGGTGGGGGGACCCAATTAGGAGGCTTCTTAGGACAAGCATACCACGGGTGACCCCACTCATGACAACAAAAACACTCAAAAATAAACTTTTTAGCATTCGAGGCTTGGCTGAAATTATTGACTCTTGGCGGATTGACTCTTGCATTGCTAGGCTGATATTGATTGGGAATTGAAGGCCTTGGCTGGACATAGGGACTTGACTTATAGGGAGGACTTGACTGAGGAAAACGAGAGGGTTTGTATGGGTTGGAAGGTGACTGAAATTTCGTACCGTAGTAAGGTTGAGGCGGTTTGGGTTGAAGTTTCCTTGCCTTTGGGATTGGTTGCCATATCTTGTAGCTGCTGCAGCACTCCACGCACCTTCATCACCCCGCTTGTTCCGTGCAAGGTCTCGACTTTGCTGCTCGTTGATAAGGGCCTCGAAGATGAACGCACGAGTCTTTATTGATTGCGGGAGCGCTTGGAGGGTTGCACGGAAAGTTTCCCACTCCGGTGTAAGGCTGGTGAGAATGACGGTCTTAAACAGTGACTCTGGGATCTCCAAGTCAATTGCTGCTGCTTCCTCCAACATCGTTTCGGCTCGTTGAAGGTAGGCTTGCGCGGACTCATCTTCTTCCATCTTCAGATTCATGAAGCGGCTCCACATTTCGGCTTGGCTGCTCTCTGATTTTGACTGGTGCATGGTCTTCAGTCGGCTCCATGCTTCCTCTGCACTGTTTGCCTTGGTAGAGCAGGGTATGAGAGACTTCAACTGCTGCTCATGGGTGCTATTGAGTAGGTAGAGAAAAGCTTCTTTGTTGCGCCGCTCATAAAGTTGTTTCTCAGCTTCTGAAGCATCTGCTGTTGGTTTAGCTGCTTCTCCAGTATAGTATGGCCACAAGTCCAGAAGGGATGCAGTAAGTTCAAACTGAGTTGCCCATGTAGGAAAATCCTTGCCATTGAACTTAGGAAGGTGAAGTTTGGGCATGAAGGGAGTGAGTGATGAGTATGTTGTTGAAGAACTGCCTGGTGCAACTGCTTCCATTAAACCAGTAGCTGCTGATGTTGATTCTGTAGCTCCTCCGGCTGATTGGAGTGCAGGGTCAGACGGATTATCTCCCGCCATGATCGGATTATGCTAGGATAGGAAGGTGGCGGGCTCGGTTGATCGAAACGACTAGCTCTGGTACCAACTTGAAAACAGGGTGACAGTGACTGCTAGAGGGCTGGAAACTTGTCTGGAAAGGCTCAACTGAACTGCTGGAATTTGACTGGATGAGGGAAAAACTTCACTATAGTCAAGACTATACAAGCCCACTAAAACACACCTCTTTAAGCATCACAAAACAAAGGCAGATAGGTAGCTCAAAACTAGGCTACTAGACAAAGCAACTCCCTTGAGAACTTGGGCACAATTCTACTTCCATGGACCTTGAGTGACTTTGAGAGCCACATGAGGTGCATGAATAAGAAGGCTTTGGAATTCTCTGATATAGCTGATTCTGGATTGTAGAAATCTGTAGAAAGCGTTAACACTTCGGCTTAAAGTGATTCCGAACTGTGAAGGGAATTCGGCTGAAATCTGATTGGTTGCGGAAGTTTCTAAATATTTCGCGAAGCCTTGACTCCGTCGCTGACATTCCCCCTTGCTGCTCCTTGTGTGCCAAGGGCTGGGGCGGCAGAAACTCGCTTTTCCAACAAAGTCCGTGTGGCGGAAGAGCTGGTACCTTTCCCGGCACGAAGGTCAGACCAGGTTCGGCTTTCTCGAGGCTCTACTTTGAGAGTGGACGGACGAGGCAGCCAAGGCTTCGCTGGATTTCATTCAGGTAACCAGCTCGTATGTGGTTGGTTCGTGACTCTTGACGAAGTTTTATTCCTGTAACTCTTTCAGGGAAAGTCGTCGTCGTCTGAACAAGTTCGATTTCGAATGCAATTGGTTTCCTGATGAAACGATCTAAAGGGGTTGCGACCTCATATTTCCATTTTTCTCAAACTTGCGAAGGACCTGGTTCACCTTTTCCAGCTTAGCTAAGCAGTAAGCCCTTAGGCATGAATCACAAGCGGGAGCGATACGGCAACATTGATGTTTTGGATTGTGGAAGAGACAGATATCAGCATCTTGGCAGCGCGGCATCAGCTACACTCTGCCACTAGCGGCACGGCCGGGGCGATTAGCCTCGAGCCGCTTGAAATGGCGTCGACTCGGAGTTACTGCCGCGCACCGTTTTTTTCGCGGGCAGCAGCAGACTCGCACGCCGCGAATCTCGGAAATTCTCACACGGCTAAGTCCCTCTTTTTGGCTTCTTGTCCTCCACGGTGCCGTGTGTCACGCTGCTGCCAGTCACGCAATCATGTGAATATTTCGAGGCGTCGGAGATGCCATGGAACAATACTTTGATACTCTCGGAAACGGTAAATTAGGGCTGCGAGGGCGCTTTGATGCTCATGCTGATGGTACGCTGCAGCTTTTCGTGTTTCACTGTTCTCTGCATGACGTCACGACACGACAGCAAGCCGTTTTTTAGCTGGTGCTAAGAAGAGTACAGTGTATGACTGTAATGGCAGATGACCTTTCTGGACATGATTGCATCTCTACCTCCTCGCTCTCATCCTGCCTCTGCCTCCTCCCCCTCACCCCCCTTCTCTTTTGTTTCCCCCTCCTCCCCCTCACCCCCCGCTATCATCCGCGCTTCTCTGCTTGCACCTCCTCACGGCGTCAGATCATACAGACCGGCAGCACACATGGGGAGATGGGAGATGGGAGCCAGCACCCGAGCTTCGCATGGCTGCTTACACATGCCACTTCAGCAATCGCAAGCACACCGCTCTTCAAGGCTTTGAATGAACTTGCTTCACGAATGGGGTGAGTGAGTGCAACTGTGCCTCATCCGTGCACACTAGCACAGCAGAGAGGGTGTAGCTTCTCGGACTGGACATGCGTACGAGCGAATGAGGTCATTTTGTTGTCCTTAGGGCATCTTTCAATATGACCTTAACCTTTAGCCATGTAGACAGGTCAATTATCTTCCAGTCTCAGTGCATAGGCATCCGACCGAACAGCTCGGCGTGCATTACCAAGTCATGCATGGCGGCTCTTGTTAAGGCTATGCATTACCACAACCGAAGCTAGAGCAGTTGTAGTCAGTGCGTTGCTTGTGAAGCCATGCATGGCGCCTCTTCCCACGTCCCAGAGTGGCGCCTCACAGTTGCCTCGAATCCATAAGCCTGATGCTCAAGGCCTCCTGCTCCTCGTGACGCTCGATAGGAGTGCTGTGGTGCGACCCACACACACCTTTCCTTTGACTGGCCTGCGGTCACTTTTGTCCCCCCCCCGTCATGAATAATTAAGTGTCTCCTTTCCTGATAGCAGATTCGGATTCCGCGTTGATTCTGTCGCATATCCTTTGTTTCGCAGTTGATCATGAGTGCAGCCATGCCTGGACTGGACTGGCAGCATCCCTGCTTCTGCTGCGGTGCATCGCCGACGGACATATACCGAATGAAGAAATGAGTCTGAGGACGCAAAATCCGGCTGCAGTTTTAGGAGAGTGACTCCTAGAAGCGCGGAATTAAGCGGCTGATCGTTGCCGTGAAGGTGGAGGATGGGACTTGTGCTGCTAGTGGCCGCTCGGCAGCTGATAGTGAAGCTACAGGTTCCACAGAATCACACAACGTTGGCAGGCGACGAGACGAGAGGTAACACAACCAGCCAGCCTGGGCGAGGGGGCGGTGAAAGGGGGGCTGCTGATGGAACTGGCGGAGGTCATTGTGAATGCGTTGGGTTTTAGCAATGGGTGGCAAAGGGCAAGCCGGATATCGCCAAGGTGAGAGTCGGTGCGGCACGGGAAAGATGCGTGTAGAATTTGGGCAGCGGATGTTTCTCAAGTCACTCGTCGCGATGGTGGGAAGCGGGCAGTTGAATAGCTGGATTTAGCCAAGGTGGGTATTTCTGAGAGTTGGTGATCAATCACTGAGGAGTTGCTACGAATGATTATGGGATGGTTGTGAGAGTGAGTGGAGTGAGATGGTGGTTGCAGCCTATGTGAGACTCTTTCCCCCTTCTACCCTCGATTATCTCCCCTCTGATTCCCTTTCCACCCAGCCCCCTATAGCATCAACCCCTTCAACATTCGTATCTGTAACTCACACACACAGACTTGTGACCCCCTGACATCTCCCCCTGACATCTCCCCCTGACATCTCCCCCTGACATCTCCCCCTACTGCACAAACACATTATTCACGAAAGCACTACCTCTTCCTCTCCCTCCCCTTTCCCATTCCCCTTGACCGCTTTCCCTCTTTCTCCCCCTCCCCCCTAGCTCCGCCCATGCTTCTCCCACATCCCTCCCCCCTGCATCCGTCTCACCAACGCACTTAAACCGTCCTTTCCCCACGTCCCCCCTCAGCTTCGCACCTGCTTCTCCTATGCCCCCTTCTGGCCCGCACGTTGACTCCCCCACAGCACTATCTCCCGCATCCCTTTTATAAGCCACTGCCACTTTCCCTCCTTTCCCTCCCTTCTCCCTCCCACCCAGCCAGCTCTGCACTGCACCTGCCTCTCCCACAACCACAATTCCGCAGCCCCCTCTGCCCCACTGCACGGGAATCGCCCCCCCACAGCGCAGCCGCACTGCTCACCCAGTGCGGGCCAAGCCAAGGCACCATCCCCTCCCTTCCCCATACCCTCTCCCTCCCGACCACCCCCTTCCTCACCCTTCCCAGCGGCGCACCTGCTTCTCCCACGCCAACGTCTGCCCCACGGATCACTGCCTTTACAGTGACGCCGCACTGCTCTCTCTCAGGCGCTGTACCCTCTCTCTCCTCCCCATACCCTCTCCCTCCCTTCTTCCCCTTTCTCCAGCCACCCTCCTCCCAGCGCTGCACCTGTTGCTCCTATACTGACATCTGGCCCGCGGATTAGTGGCCTCATGGTGTGGCCGCACAGTTCTCACCCTTGCACTATCCCTTCTTCTCCCCTACCCACCTCCTCCAACCCTTCCCCTGTCTGTCTTCCCACCAGCTCCGCACTGCACCTGCTACTCCAGCACTGGTTCCTGGCCCGAATTTCTCGCCCCTGTTCAACCATGCAGGCAGAGGCTGCTGACGTGGCGGAGGTGGGCGAGAGGCGCAAATGGCGTTGGCGGCAGCAGTGGCAGCGGCGGGAAGCACGGGGAAGAGGGCGGGAAGGGGGACGAAGGGTTCGTGAAGGGAGTCTGCTCATGGGGCTGGCGGGCAGTTGACAAGCTTGAAGTCGCCAAGGTGAGACGCTCTGAGGGGTGGAGGTGCGTGCAAGATTCACTTAGGGGTGGTGAAGACAGGAGGTTGAAGGATGGGGGCTGGGGTGAAGGAAAGTCGGGAGAAGGAAGTGGGGAGAGGGGTGGTGAAGTTGATGTGTGTGAGACACAGCGTGTGAGACGCAGCGTGTGAGAGGCTGTGAGCAGTCGCTGTGGGACAGGGATGATGTGTGTTAGGGTCACTCCAAGGACTGGCAGGGGATGCCCAAGGCAGGGCTGCTGATGGGGTTTGCGGAGGCCAGAGAGTACGTGTTGGATATGCGAGGGGAGTTTTAGAGGGTCCTCCCCAACACCCTGCAACTCTCCCTTCCCACTCACCCATGCACAATTCCCCCTTCCCACCCCAAACTTCATCCCTGACCCATCCAGCTCTGCTTCGCTCCTGCTTGCTGTTCTCATGCCCTCTCGCACCCACTCGCACAGCCACACTGCTTGTCCAGGCACCATCTCAGGACTATCTCAAACCTATCACTTCTCGTTACCTTCACGCACTCCCCTTTCGCTTGTCCCTTCCCCCTCCCTTTCCCCTTCCCCTCTCTGCTTCTCATTCCGCCTCCCAACCCCTTCCCCTACCCCTCCCAACCCCTCCGCTCTCCTCCCCTGATCCCAATCGTCTGCCGCGACTCCAGGCTCTTTCATGCCCCGACTTGCGACTCGTCCCCGTCGAATCTACATGGGCCGATTGAAATGGCTGGGCCTGCGATGTGCGTGCGCAGGCATCACCACAGGTGTCAAGCCGGACAATGGCCTCGCATCACCTCGCCTCGCCTTTTGGAATGGTGCCTCGCACCTGCCGCTGCACCGCTGCCAGAGGCGCCGCTGCCGTAATGATTGCCCTCAGCTGTGCTCCTGTGTCTCCTGCACCCTCACTTGTCGTGCACCTGCCCAAACCCTTATGCTATCCTTCCCACCATGACGCCGCTACGTTCCCTCCTTCCGTGCTCTCCCTTTCCGATCCCCTCCCCCCCCACTCCCCCCTCAACTCCCTCCCTCACCCCTCCGCCGCTCATTCCCTCCTAGCTGGCTTCATTTCATTCTCTCTAGAGGATCATCATGTGTGATACAACCATCACGCTGCTCCTTTTCCCTCCTTTCCCCGCTCCTCCCCCGCTTTCCAGCTCCGCACCTGCTTCTACACCCACTCCCGCCCCTCGGATTCCCGCCACTACGGCACGAGCACACTGTTCACGAGCACACTGTTCACGGGCAACCTGTGGGCTTGTGGGCTGCTGGCTGAGTGCACTCCGTGCCAAGATAATCTCTCTTCAACACACCTTACTGCTGATGTTCACTTGTACTGTTCATTGCTGGCTGGGTGCAAGGGGCTCATCGTGCGTCACCAGATCAGTGGAAGGTCACTCTTAGCTCACTCTCGGATCATTCTTGTCCCCCCCCCCTTACCCTTACACTTTCCATCCCCGTCCCTTTCTCCACTCCCATCCACTTCTCCATCCCCTCCTCCATCCCCTTCTCCACCAACGTCCCCTTCCCCATCCCCATCCTGATTGCCATCCCCCACATCCTGCAGCCAGCAGCAGCTCCAATCCGCCCTGCTCTCTCCCTCTCTCCTTCCGGCCACCCTTCCCCCCAATTACCCACCAGGTGTGCATGGTCCAGCCAGTAGCATCCGGCCCCTGCCGCCTCTACACTCACAGACCCATCAACAATCAGTTATCTCCACACTGGGGTTAGTAGTGCCTTGAATTAAACTTGCCTCTACCGAATCAGGTAGGTGCTCTCATTTGTCTCCTGTGGCGCCACCGTTTGCACCCCGTTGTCTCTTGTGTCAACCATTTAATGTGGAGGAGACAGTCTCTTTATCGCATCATCTCATCACCCCATTATCCCACTACCCCATTCCCTATCTATTGTGTCACCCTGTCTATTGTGTCACCCTGTTGTCCCATCTTCTTTTATACTCGTACATTTGAGCCACGACTTGCTAGCAATCCGCGACACCCTTGACGCGACGAGCCGATCGAAACTACAATCGTGGATCTACCGTGTCGGTGTTGGCGCACGTTGATACGAAACTAGGGCTTATCTGGCAAGCAATTAGCGCACGGCGCAGAGTGGAGTCTTCCTTGCAACGGCGTGGCTTGAGCTTTGTGTTGAGCAGCAGTAGATAGCACGGTGCCATCATCAGTTTCTACCTCCTGCTGCACGAACAACAGATTTGCGAACCCCCCCTTCCCCCGACGTGCATTTTCGCCTCCCCCCACCAACCCAACTTCCCGCCACTTTGCCAACCTCACATCCGCGCTTGTGCTTCTCCCCAGCCACTTTTTGTGACCTTCCTCGCTACACCAACTTCTTCCTTGAAACAAAGACTACACTTTCCACCTCATTTGTTATGCTTCCTTTACCTCCAACATCATTTTGCATGCCACCAGCCCAATACCTTACAGAATGACAGGCCGCAAAAGGGGCCGTGCTGCCCAAGACTCTGAACCCACTTCTCCTCGTCCGCCTGCCCGTTCGCGACAACCTCCAGCCTTCGCGATTCTTTCGACCTCCTCATCAAACCTTGCACCACCCCCTACTCCTAAGCCTCAATCATCTTCTGCTCCCTCCCAGCAACCTCAGCCAACAGCAGCGCCAAAAATTGTCTCGGAGAAACAAAAGGAGATTCTCCAGCAGGTCCTTAAAGCCACCCTTCCTGATTCTCCGTCTCCATCACGGCCTCAAACCTCTCACCCTCAGCCCTCGACTTCCCGTGCCCATCTTTCATCTACCTCAACACCTCCACCAACGACTACAGCAGATGCTCCTGATCCCACAGCCCCTACCGATAACACGCACCCACTATCACACTATGAAACTGTTGCTTCACCTTCTCGAGATCCCCCTCCTCCTTCCCCTACCCCTCACGCTACGCAGCCATGCCCGCAACCCTGCCCGCCCTCATCAACCTCCGATAACCCACTACCTCCTAATTCTTGCCCCACATGTCGACGCACCTTTGCCAACTCAGGTTCGCTGGCCCGTCACCTTCCAGCCTGCTCTCGCAACACCGCCACACGTCAGCAAGCTGCTCGGCCTCCTCCTCCCCGCTCATCAGCCCCAACCTCGGCGCCTGCAGCCGTAGATCGACCTGCAATTCCTCAAGCCACTTGGGAGGCCGTTCCTTCCTGGGATTGGCCTTCCTTCTTCAGCCCAGCAGTCTCACCTGGCCCTATTCTCCGCCGAATCCCCTCCCGCATCCGACTCCTCATTCTCGATGCACTTCTCATTCCACTGCGCCGCCTTGCACAGCATCCTTCTGACGACGCTGCACACCTCATTCTCTTGGCATTTCCGCGTCTCTTGCTGCGCCTACCATCCGCCGCTGCTCCCACGCAGTCCCTTACCTCTTCATGTGCCTCCTTAGCGCGCCGCTTCATCAATGGTGACTGGCAGTCTCTTTTCAGTGAAGCCGTAGCTGCAGCCACTCCAGCCGCCAGACCTCTGCACATGGCATCGGCACGTTCTACGGCGCTGCAGGCTCGTCTCAACCGTGCGAAACGGTTTGCGAAATGCGGGGACTGGTCACGTTCACTGGCAGCACTGGAAGCTGGCGAGCTAGCTCCTCCATCATCAGAAACGGTTGCTGCCCTCAGCTCCAAGCACCCACCTGCTGCAGCAGAAATTCCTGACTGGGTACACAGCTTCACTCCTACAGCCGCACCACAGCTTACTGTCCCTGTTCTCCAGGCCGCTCTACAGTCCGCCCCCCGTGGCACAGCTGCTGGACCTTCTGGGTGGTTCATTGAGCACCTCAAGGACACGTTTCTCTCTCACCAGCAGCATCTCCCTTCTCTCCTCCACGTATTCCAGAACTGGCTGCAGGGTGATCTTCCACTTGCAATCAGGCCTTTCTACACCGCTTCGAACCTCGTGGCCCTACAGAAACCGCATGGTGGTGTACGTCCCATCGCCATTGGGGAAGTGCTACCACGCCTCCTTTCACGCTGCATCACTCTCCTTTTCAAGCAGCAGATGCGAGAGACATTCCTTCCTCACCTTCAATTTGGCGTAGCAGTTCCGGCCGGGATCGAGATTATGTCGCACGCAGTGTGCTCCGCCTTCTCCCTTCATCCAGTCTGGGTGGTGCTTCAGCTGGACGTTGCAAACGCGTTCAACTCATTCAACCGGGTTTCCATGTTTGAGGCATTAAGGCGCTCCCCATTCTCTAGTCTCATTCCATTCTTCCGCCTATTCTACTCCACCCCTTCACCTCTTCACTACCGCAGCGGCCCCCTTCTCCACACATTCCAGTCAGCTTCTGGTGTTCGTCAAGGCGACCCTTGTGGCCCTTTTCTTTACGCCCTAACACAGCAGCTAGCCATCCAACCAACCCAGCAACAGTCTCCCTCAATTTTCGTTACCTCATACGCAGACGATACCTACTTGGTCGGCCCTCCCTCAGACGTCTACAATGACCTTACCTCCCGCCTTCTCTCTCTTGGCCTTACTGTCCAACCCTCTAAGTGCTCTCTATGGGCCCCTATGGACTTGCCCGAACACTGCATTCCACCCCCGGGTATTTCCATCGCTGCAAACGGTCTCACTGTGGCTGGAGTTCCCATCGGCTCAGACGGTTTCATCATCTCTACAGTTCGTGACAAGCTCGATTCTTTCACTACCTCCCTCCCTTTACTGCATCAACTGCAGGACCCACAGATTGCCTCACGGATCCTTTCCTTATGCATCACTGCCCGACCTTCTTTCCTCCTCAGAACTGTCGCACCTTTTCCCGAAATCCAAGAGCTACTCTCTTCATGGGACAGCACGATTTTCAGCCACTTCTCTCAGCTCTTGGGCTCCGAGTACTGGAATCCCACCTCTGAACAGTCCACATCGGCCCGCCTCCAAGCCTCGCTCCCTATCCGCTTAGGTGGCTTCGGCATTCGCAGCTCTGCATCCATCGCCCCCCTCAGTTACCTTTGCAGCTGGGCGCAGGCAGTTTCGACCCTATCCACCCACTTCATCACTGATGGTGCTCCTCTTTTCCGCCCTTACGTCACCACGGACTCCATTAACCTCCTCGACCCTTCAATCTCATTTACCATGACCATGCTTCCCCAAGACATTCGTGACCGCTTCCCATCATGGCCTGTGCTTCAATCGGGCTACCCTCCTAAACTCTTTACTCACCTCTCCCAACACCTCGAAGCCGATTTGCTGGAGAAGGTTCGAGCCACAGTAACGTCCCCGCTTCGCCTTGCTCGTCTAACCTCTTTGCAGGGCCCGCATGCAGGTGACTGGCTCACTGTGGCTCCATCCTCCCCGCACATGCAGCTTTCAGAGACCGAGTGGCGCATTGCAGCAGCTATCCGCTTAGGCCTTCCTCTTCCTCACCTTTCATCTTCACTCACCTGCACCTGCAACTCCCCGTTCACCGATCCTTCCATCCATTCTCATGTCCTTCGCTGCCCTAGCAACAACGAGCCTACTAAGGTGCACGACGCAATCAAACGAGAAGTTCATCGCATTGCCTTGGGGCTTGGGTTCTCTGCGCAGATGGAAGACCAGCATCTCCTGCCTGGCCGCCGCACAGACATCACGTGCCGCGACATTAGCTCTGGTACCACCTGGGCCTTGGATGTTTCTATTGCTGATCCACAAAAGGGGTTTCCACACTCCAACGCAGCTACGGTGATTGGTTCAGCAGCAGCCACTCGTGAAAGTGAGAAGACCACCCACTATGCTGCAGCACTTCGTGACCGTCCAGACGTCAAACTGTTTCCCCTTGTCATCGAAACCTTCGGTTGCTTCGGCTCATCGTTCAACAATTTCCTACGCCAATGCAGCCGCAAAGGGGCTTCACAACTCCGTGACTTGA